ACTAATCCTTCATCCTAGAGCTTGCTAGGAGGCATCGTATAGCGTAAAGTACGTAGTATGGAAAAACTGCCATTCTTGAAAAGAGGAAATTGCCAGCTACGGTTAAAGCCCCTCTATTTCAGAGCACAGCATTTCCAACAGCTACGGACACACTGTGATTCCTCGCAAGTGCAGACGATATCCAAAATTGCTCATTAAGATCAGATATAATGCAAAATAAAAATAAAAATGACTCACCCACCCTTGCGTGCATCTCGAGTCGGCGCGACTGGAAGATATTTTTTAGCTCTTATGTGCTAGAAATACTAGATGAAAAGTTTATGTCTGGAATTGAGGCGGTTCCTCATATTGGCATGTGTATCTTTTGAACGCTAAGCTGTGAATATCGTATCCACATATAACTCACGAACTGAAGATATAGAGATATGCACTGTGATACCTGTGGCAATGCCTGAGACGAAATGGAAATATGTCATGAATATCGATGTCTCAAATAATACTAGCATAGGATTAATAATACGATTCAGTGCGGCCAAATGCCCGAGAAGCGTCAATGATTCTGGTTTATTCCGGCAGAATACTGTGTGTCTTAGCCACGAATTCCTTTGAGAGATTAATTTTACACACTTTGCTTCAGACTGGTATCGCTCTGTCTGTACAGACTCTGAGTCATAATCAAAAGCACCTCGGTTCTTACCCCGATTAGAGCCAGTTGCCTTTCTTCCTTCAGAGGTTGACAGACGAGTACCACTGTGTGGAAAGGAAACAGGAGATGACACATAATGCTTGCCACATAGCTCCTGTCGACTCCACCATTAAATAAGGGGCTTGTGGTTGATGGCATGGGAATGGTGATCAGCGCTCCACCGACTTCGTCGATGGGATCAGCGCCCCCCCCAGCCATTGACTTCGTGAAAAGAAAGGCATCAGAAATGAACCTATCGTGAAAGTGTAACGACCGACACTCCAGAGATAGCTTGCTTTCTTGTATCCTTTCCTTCCTGGCCAAAGAATAGACATCACTCGTTCCAACCTTTGAATTTCTCAATTCG